CCCTAGCCCTTCAGCCAACCAGGGTCATGGGTGTACCCAGTATGCTCAGGTTGACCTGAAACCTGATCTGATCTGCTATATAAGCCTTCCTATGCAGCTCTAGAATCTTGCAGCAGCACCCTAGATATGCCACTGTGGCTGGGCCAAATGGAGGTTTCTTCAAGAAAGAAGATAGGAAAAAGAGAGAGAGAGAGAGAGAGAGAGAGAGAAAGCAGTACCCCAGTGGGCAGGGTCATGACATGACAAAATCCCTTCTCCACTTCTCTGTATTGTCAAACTATTTTAAGCAGTTTCCAGATTGAAATATATACAAATACATAGTTTTTATAATTTTCTTTTTTTTGGAGAGGTTTTCACTATAGGGTGCATGTGCTCGCCAGACAGACAGAGACATAGAGACAGAAAGCGAGAAATCACCCCCCCAGGGGGGGTGGTCACGCCGCAATCCCTTCTCCTCCATTCTCCTCTCGGGATCTTGGGCACGTACGCACACGCACCCGGCGTGAGTTCTAAGCCACCGGGTCCAGGACGCGAACCGTGGACGACTACATGGGAGTCCAGCAACATAGCCATTGTGCTAACTGCTGGTTCCCATAGTTTTTTATAATTTTCTCAGAGACACTAAGTCTGGAAACAAAACCCCTTTCAGACAATATCCAGATGTCCTCCTGCCTCCCAGTTACTTGAGGCTCTATAGAGAGACTGACAACATCTGCTGTTCTCAGACATAGTCTTGTCTCCCCTAGAATCCATTTGCTACATCTACAGTTTCTAAACACTTTGATAATCCCCACCTGTGTGTCTTCTGCATGCCACGTGAGGCTTCAAAACCTAACCACAGGCTCTTTGTGGTCTCACCTCCTGCCCCTTGTCCCAACTGGTCTATTTGCTGTTCCTTAAATATGTCATGCAACCTCAAAATCTCCATTTCCCCTATTGCCTGGAATACTCTTACCCTACTTCTCTTCCTGGAAGATTCAGCTAACCCCTATCCTGACCCACATAGACAGAAATGACTACTTCTGCTTTTGAACTCCTCC